GTAAGCGAGCTTAGCTTTGCAGAGAATCTTTCCAATAAAAAAGCTGCTTGCAGGGATCAAATGGATCTATTAAAAAAAACAGTAGTTGTGGATGCTTCCTCACTGAAGGTTTTTAAGAAGAGATTGTGTAAGATCGTGGGGAAAGAGACTCGAGACCAGTGTGACTTTTCAGCTCTTTATTTATTGTATAGATCTGTGCTAGACCTCGGAGCCGCGGCAGCCCTTCATATAGGGATTGCTCGCGGCTCGTAGCCAATGACGGCTCTTTGAATCTCCCACGATCGGCCCGGCCAATCGCGGTTGATTCCTATTGAGCCAATCACAATAGTTTACTTGAACCAATCACTGTGCAGCGTCTCTGGACCAATCAGGAAAGGGTATTTCGAGTATGCTAATATGGAACAGATTGGACAATCCATTGTCTGAAATGGTGTAGGTTTCCTGCTGGAGCAGTGGGTTGGACTAGACACCTCAAACGTCCCTTACAACTCTGTTATTCATTCAAGCATCTGCCTGAATAAGATGAAGGCTTGAAACTGAGTTTAGGCTGAGTTCAGAATGGTCATATTGCTTACAGCCATGTGTCTTGCCAATCTCTTTCCTTACTTTCCCTCAACTTCCCTATGTTAAAATATTTAAGGAGGAATTGAGGTTGGCTTAAATTAAACTTTCCTTTTGATTTAGGACCCTTAATACATAATGATCCCAAACTGTGTAGGAAGCTGGGTGGATGTGAGCCAATTATTCACTGACTATCTCTCAGTCCAGCCTCTCCCAGATCTTTTGTTATGGAGAAAAATAGAAGTAGAAGGGTGTATGTTGCCTTGAGCCCTTATAAGAAAGGCAGGCCTTAATAAAAAAAAATGATTGACTGATTGCATATATAACTGCTCTTTGCATCTTCTGGCTGAATGCCTATTTGACTAAAAAATATAGAAGCACAGAGGGAGGGCAGCAAGTCCAATCCTGTTGATCGACTGGTTCAAAACTGGTCTCTTGAGTGAAATAGTAAACTGGGCTACTAACTAGATACGATATCTAGGCTTTCTAAGCAGTTAGTTGCATTATGGGTGTTAAATGAGTATTACATGTGTAAAACGTAGCAGGTATAATTATTTTACAATGCATTTTACAGTATTTCAAGTTTAACCTTCTTTACAGGTGTGCATAAATCATACTGATTAGAAGTGCAGAATCAGGGACTGATGGTAGATTTTTTAAAAGTATTAGAAACAATACAGATGCTGACTAGTGCTAGAGAATAAATCAATCAAATGGTCTTAGGGAAAACTTGGCATCACTCCAAGAACTGCCAGGTGATTGAGTTGAATATTTTATTGTAAAAAATTAAAAATCTCTTCTCATCCCTATTGATGGTATGTGTCTTCCTCAATCTTCAGTCTTCTGCCAGAAGCTTGGGACTTTTAGGATTCTGCACAGTAATCTTAGTTGTTCCTAACACTGCACTTTTCTTGAAGAGAGCTCCGATGTTGTTTCCCTCCCAGCTTAGGAATCACAGCACCAAGTGCTCCTTACCATCACTGAGGCCACTTTGGCATTGTCTTTCCATGTCTTCTCTAGTTCCTCCTTCAGGCCCTGGTTCTTCTCCAGTTTCTCATACATCTTCCTGATATTGCTCTCACTTGGCATTGCTACATCTATCACCAAAGAATACTGTCTTCTGATCCTTTTTTACTACCATAATGTCTGGTTCATTTGCCAATATTGCCTGTACATCTGAATCTGGAAGTCCAACAGGATCTTGTTCTCCCACTGAGTGATTCTTCAGTGATTCTTGAGTGATTCTTACCCTATGGCCTTGATGGAAAACCTATGGTACACATGCTGGAAGTGGCACGCAGAGCCATTTCTGCCAGTACACGAGCCATCACCCGGAAGAGATGCACTGCGCATGTGTGTGCGCCTCCCGACAGCTAGCTGATTATCGGGTATCTGCCGCACATGCGTGGGAGGTGGGGTAGTGTGTGTGTGTGTAAAGAGAGAGAGAGAGAGAGAGAGAAGAAGGGAGGGAGGGAGAGAGATAGACACATACTTTCCCCCAATTATTTGGCAATCTGAAATTCTCTCTATGTTTACTTGCACTAATGTGCACAATAAACAATAATCTAGTAAATTTCTTTAAAATCCATGTAGTCAATATTTCAACCAATCTGCAGAATAGCCTTTATTTCGCCAACCCATTCTCAAGCTCCTACTGCAGCAAACTCCTAGGGATAAAGAAACCATCAACTGGAATCTGACTGTAGATTAGCAAAGCTTTTCAACATGTGTTTATTTAGTAAGTGCAAAGTAAGTTTTTCTTTGCTAAATTAATTTGTTGATATACAGAAACAAAATTCAGAATCGTGTCGGTAAGTTCTAGTATTTAAAATTAATTCCTGAGTTAACTTCTAGGCAGATCATCCCACGCAGTATTGTTCCAGGTTGTAATTCATTGCCACCACCCACCATTTAATTGTGATTTTACATCTGTTCCCCATGTTTTTTCAACCAAGCTTGAAATTCTAATTCTGCTAGGTAGACCTTAAATTCTAACAAAAGAATTCATGCATGAAGTAAATTTGCTTATCCCTGAGTTACACAGTCAATTAAGTAAAACAAAGGCCACCATACCTCAGTTCTTGTGGTTTTGTTAACTCATAAACACACCAAAATGTTAAAACAGAAAAAAAAGCACAAACTATTTGTAGCACACACGTGGACAAAGCAAATTTAAACCTTATTTTTTTAGAAGACTAATTTGATTTGTCTGGATGTTCATCATAAATTGCATAGCTTGGGGATCCTAGACGTACAGTATAAGGAAATACTGTATGTTCTGTACCTTTTCTTGCTCTGCTAGCCATTTTGCAAATTGTCATGTATGCGCCTTGTCATCTTTATATAATAAAGGCTTTTCTCTGCTATTAAAGGATACATAAGAGCTTAAAATAACACATGGAACCAAAATGTATTTTTCCAAGAAAAAAAAGATGTAACCTATTATAATTCTAATAATGGAAAACCAATTTTATATGCCTCATCTATGTTCAATCCATAAGCGAGCCCCAACTGCTATTGTGTGAAATCCTCTATTCTTAGAAATCTAGCAACTTCTTTTGTCCTAACTATGAAACAAACATCACTTTCTTGTTTAGTTTCTAAACTTTCAAGTCTCCTTGTAAATAAGACTTGTCATAAAGTAACTGTATCACACATTTTTAATATTTTAATGAGAAAAAACAAAAAAACTTTTGGAAGCTGAAAAACATATAACTTTCCAAAACAAACCCCAAGCACAGAGATAAAAGGTACAGAGGTTTCTACTTCACTGTTCTGTATCTACTGCTTAGTTTTATCAGGTATAAAGCAGGACTGGGATTCATATTTTTTAACAACCGGTTCTGTGGGTATGGCTAGGTGGGCGTGGCTAAGTGGGCATGGCCATGTGACTGGGTGGGCGTGGCTTTACTTTTCTTTTTTTGAACCATCCTCCCCCCATTTTTTTTTTGCCTCCTGGGCCTCAGGGAAGCCTCCTGGTGGCCATTTTTGTTCTCAGAAGGCTTCCCTGGGGTCAAGGAAGGCAAAAAACAAAGCGCAGGGTGGGCGCACAGCACCCCCCTGCGCTCCATTTTTTGGGCCTCCTGGGCCTCAGGGAAGCCTTCTGGGGGGGCGTTTTTGCTCACAGGAAACTTCCCTGGGACCCAGGAAGGCAAAAACCAAAGCGTGGGGGGGGGGCGCAGCCCCCACCCACCCCCTGCACGGCCCTTTTTGCCTCCTGGGCCTCAGGGAAGCCTCCTGGGTGAACCAGTAAGACAGCATGGTGGATCCCAATACAGCTGATCATTGGAACAGCTGATCGTCAGGAGGGGAAGAAAAAGAAATACCTTACGGAGTGACGCAGTCAGCTATGCCAGGCATGCATGCGACATGTCGGGCATGGGCAGGGAGGGGAGGGGTGGGTGGAGAGGGGCGGGCCTAGCCAGGGTCACAATTTGCCGACTCTCCGAACTGCACAGATTCATTACAACCAGTCTATAGAACCGGTCCAAACTGGTAGAATTCCATCCCTGGTATAAAGTTCTTTCCTGAACTCCTAGCCTGACATCATTTCACCCCATTCTAGATGGGTTCGCTAATTTGCAAACAGACAACAATATAGATTCTTTCTAGCAATGATTATAAACACTGGAATAACTTGCAAAAGAACTTCTGTAAATAAACAGCTATAGATGGGCTCGATGGCAATTAAGAATTAATCATAGGCCAAGAATTGATTAAATTAAGAATACTTGACTTAAATTTTCCTATTAAAGTTTCAGTGTGGCCCAACATTCTTTTATAATTTCTAATTAATGTCACAATTATATGGTTTCTTCCTAATATATTTCTTTGCCAAAGAAAAAGACTGTGCCAAATAAATATGCTACCAACAAGTTTTAACAATATTCTAATGAACTGGTAAGCAAAACCATTGTTCTGAATTTTTTTATTTAATTTGGAACTATATTAGGTATATGTCTGTAAGCAACTAAAAAAAATAAGCCAGGACTGCACTTCACTTGATCAAGCAATGGTTAAAAAAAATAATTCAATGTTATAATTACCGCTGCAACTAGTTGTAAATGCAAGCCAGCTACATTTTATTGTTGTAAGCCACCCAGAGTCACCTCAAAGCAAGATGGGAAGCAAACAAATCTAATAAATAAATTAAATAAATTAGAATAAACTCTGATTCTTAAATTTAAAATAACTTTTAAAACAGATAAAAAGAAAGATTTCCTAATATAGGGAGAGGTTCCCCAACTTCTTCTTACTATTGTGAAAAAGTAAATCCATTCACAACAACTCAACATTATAAACCAAGGAGCTACAAGTACAATCTGTATTTATAAGCCTGTAAAAAGTATGCATCTTAGCTTCTAAGTTGTTGTTTTTCCAGCTGTCAATAAATTCCTAAAACACCCAGTGGTACCAAATGTAGAACTATAACCAATTACCGGGAAACTGCAGCTTCCATAAACTCATCCAGAAGATCGTCATAAGCCTGGCCTCGGATTCGTTTGTGTTTCAGACCTATGTACAAAGGATCATTTATCAACTCCTGTTCAAAAGAAAAGAAAGAAAATAAATACAATTGTTAGCATTTGGGGCACCTGAATCCAAATATATTGTATGTGTATACTTACAAATTGTAATTGGAAAAATTGTTCAGTCTTCCAGGGAATTATGAGATAGAAAAATGATGGAAAATCTTCAAAAAAAATTAGATTTAATCCCTCCTTTATTATTTTTATAAATAATTCAAGTCAGCAAACATACCTAACACATCTTCCTCCTATTTTTGACAAAAATCATATAATGTATCTTAGGCTGAGAGAGAAGATACGGCCCAAAGTCACCCAGCTGGCTTTCATGCCTAAGGTAAGACTAGAACTCACAGTCTTCTGGTTTCTAGCCTGTTATGCCTTAGCTACTACTGTTTATTTTATTTATTTTAAGTAAGTTTTAAGATTTTAAATGTCTATTTTAGTATGTTCATTAACTATAATTCCTTTGATATGTTATATGAGTTAAAGAAACATAAAACTAATATGTACATATGGTATCGGTAGATTTGGAAAATAAATATGAATGGTGATTGGTCTGAGATTGGTTAGAGATGGTCAAACCTGAGTGGTATAAGTATGACAAACTATCAAGAAATAAATAGATAGGGAAATGAAGAAAGAAATTGGCAAATCACTTCTGTATGTTGCCAAGAAAGCAATATTTATATCTCTGCATAGTTTCCAATAATCAATAATCCACACAGTGAGTTGGTAGGATTTTAAAGTAAAAAGTAAACTCTTTAAAATTGCAGATAACATTCTATATAACTTTTTTAAAGTCATTTATACCTGAAAAAAATTTCAATTCATACATTTCTAAAATCATATTACATAACCAAACATTTCTTGTGAGAAGGAAAACATGATGCTTTTACAGAGTAGATATTATAAACTTTTTGAGACTAAATGTTAGCTTTTAATTTCATGGATGAAATTATACCTTATAATTTTCAAATCCAAATACATGCAATATCCAAAGCAAAAATAAACAGAAATGAATAAACGAATCCCTGACCACATCAAACCACAGATAATTTTTATATTTCAGAGTGTTCCACAAAATATATTTCAGGAGGAAGATATGGTTTTGACCATTCTGCTATTATTAAAGTCTAAGCTACCAATTACAACAGAATTAAATACCGTCTTCCAATTTCAGGAAACCTCTTTGTGGGATACACATACGTAATCCATATCTTGCTAAAAGACAGCACAGAATCATTTTTATTTTCCAGTTCTTATTCGAAATTGGCCCTAAGTATTGTCCTTAGATTCCTTGAAAAAATCAATGGGATGAGACAGTAAAATGCAGCATAAACCCCAAATAAAATTGAATTTCAGGTTTGACTAGAAACCAGACTAACATGCCCTTCATACTGAATCCATTGTAAAGATGGACATGCCAAGAGAGACTAACTGCTTTGTTGAGGTAATGATCAGAAAACAGAAACTTAACATACTTTAGAAATGTGATGCAAGTGAATGATGGATAGAATAAAAGTTATATATAGAAAGGATCAAGGAAGCAGGAGAGAACAACCACAGATGAAATGGATGAATGCCCTTCAGAGAACTACAAATTATTACTGGAGACCAGCTGAACAATAAACATTGGTCTATACTGTTCCGAACTAGCAGGCTCGTAAGCCTGAAACTCTAATTGCTTTCCTTCCACGGCAGACTCGTAATCCTGCACTTTTGATTGGTCCGTGAATAGCTGATCGTGATTGGTCGTTTTAGACTAATCCGATTGGCTAGTTAATGGGTCGCCGCGATTGGACGCCCCAAGCGCGGCAAACTCAAATCATTGGATGTTTTGACAGCAGCCAGCTCTATAAAAGGAGCTGCTGCTGCCTGAGTATTTAGCTCTGTTCTGAAGTCACTAATAAAGAGTTGGAGTCACTATTTGATGCCTCGTCTCCGTTCTTGCGCCCACTCTCCCAGATCTAACACTGGCGACGAGGGTGGGATGCGGAGACGATAGAGCTGACTGAGCACTCGCGGAACACTAACAGAGCACGTGGCTGAGGGCACACCGATAGCGGCAAGATGACCAGCGGCGCCATACCACCCGCTCCATTTGATCCAGCCAACGAAGACTGGGACTCGTACATGGACAGGTTTCAAATGTTCCTGGAAACCAATAACCTGAAGGATGCTAAGCCTGGCAAGAAACTAGCTGTGTTCCTAATGCATTGCGGACCCGCCGTTTTCAAGATGGCAAAAGCACTCGCCAAACCGGCAGAAGTCAAAACAATGGACTGGGATACCCTTGCTCCCATCCTCAGGGCCCATTATGCCCCAGCGGTGCCAACCCTCATCAGGAGACACGGGTTTTACCAGAGGGACCAACAGGAAAGCGAAAGCGTTGGGGACTTCATAGCGAACCTCAGGAATTTGGGTGGACTCTGTGGTTTCGCAAATCTGGAAGAAGCCATGAGAGATCGGGTCGTTCTGGGTTTAAGAGACCTCACCACCCAAAGCAAGATTATGGCAAAGGGGGACATCGCCCTCGCAGATGTCATAGCCGATGCTACTGCAGCAGAAGCAACCAGGAAGTCAGCAGCCCGAATGCGCCGAGCGAATGGAACCAATCGCCAATTCGCCAGCAACGCTGCTCTTCCCTCAGAGAGACACACAACGACCACCCACCATGAAGACCTCGAATCCTCATCAGAAAGTGAGGAAGAGGAAGTCAATAGACTCAGATCGGAGCGCGATCAGCGAGGCCAGCGGGGTTGTAAGCCCCCGTATCAATGTGCTGGATGCGGGGGAAACCACCCGCGGTCAGACTGCAAGTTCCTAGACGCCCTTTGTCGTTCCTGTGGGAAGAGGGGCCACATTGCAAAAGTCTGCAGGAGCCAGCGAGGATCCAGCCCAAACAGAAGAGAGAATAGTTTCCGGCAGACAACAGGCACCCCACCGTTAAACCGGGACTGCCCAAGCAACCAATGGAACCCCCACAACAGAAATCGAGCACTAGCCACCTTTACCAGACGAGAAGAGGCGCACCAGACCATCACCATTGGCCATGCCTCATCCCTTGATGCGAGGAAAATCCGGGTAAGGGTCACCATTGAAAAATGACCATGTGTTATGGAAGTTGACTCCGGGTCTTCCCTATCGATGGTCTCCTGGAAAACCCTCAAGCAACTGATCCCTGACATCCGCCGCCAGGATCTCAGCACTCAGAAACTTATATTAAAGGACTACCAGGGAAATCGGATTCCAGTTGCTGGTTCCAGTCACGTCCAAGTCTCATTTAAAGACCACACCGCAACCCTACCTCTCACCGTCGTTGACAAAGACCGACCCAGTTTATTGGGTTTGCAGTGGTTCACGCCGCTAGGGATCGAGCTGGCAGGCATCAACCAGACCGTAAGCGATGACTGGGAGGCGGCCCTCGTCCGGGACTTCCAAGAAGTCTTCACCGAGCAATTAGGCAAGTACAAGGGGTCCCCTATATCGTTTAATCTCTGCCCTGATGTAGCGCCCATTCGCCTTAAGCCTCGTCGAGTGCCCTTTGCGCTTAAACCAAAGATTGACGAACAATTGGACAAGTTAATAGCCCAGGGCGTATTAGAACCCATCGACCACGCCCGATGGGAGACCCCAATTGTAACCCCCATAAAACCAGATGGATCTTTGAGAATCTGTGGGGATTACAAGGCCACCCTGAACCACGCACTACAGCAGAGCGCCTACCCCGCGCCCGTGGTCCAACACCTTCTTCACTCACTCGGGGGCGGAAAGGTATTTGCAAAGCTTGATTTAGCCCAAGCGTACCAGCAGCTACCTGTAGATGCAGAGACCGCAGAAGCCCAAACCATAGTCACACACAGAGGTGCGTTCAAATGTAACAGACTCCAGTTCGGAGTGAGCGTAGCACCTGGCATCTTTCAAAGTTTGATGGAGAGGTTGCTGCAGGGCATAAAAGGGGTTATACCCTACTTCGATGATGTCTTGATAGCCGCCCCCACAAGAAGTCAACTAGAAAAACGCCTAAGAATGGTCCTTCAAAAATTCAAAGACGCAGGCCTAAAGGTCAAGAAGGAAAAGTGCCAACTATGCACTGAGAGGGTTGAATTTCTTGGTTACCTTCTTGACAAACAAGGAATTCACTCTACTGAAAAAAAATTGGCTGCAATAAAAAACACCCCAAGACCTAGGAACAAGACAGATCTCCAAGCCTTCCTGGGACTCATTAACTTTTATAACATCTCCCTACCCCAGAAGGCAACTGTTGCTGAACCCCTGCATAGGCTCCTCGACAAGAAGGCTTCCTGGTTCTGGGGATGTCGAGAAGAACAGGCTTTCCAGCAAGTAAAAGACCTCTTAACATCAGATGCTGTATTGATACAATATAACGAGACACTACCATTAACTGTAACCTGCGACGCCTCACCGTTTGGAGTAGGAGCTATCCTGAGCCACGTCCTACCAAACGGTACGGAGGCGCCTATTGCATTTTTTTCAAGAACTTTATCTAAAACTGAGAGAATCTATAGCCAATTAGATAAAGAGGCCCTTGCTATTGTATCTGCAATCAAACGATTTCACGAGTACGTATATGGAAGATCCTTTTCTATAATCACCGATCACAAACCATTGCTTGGCATTTTGGCAGGGGATAAACCAACTCCCCACATCCTATCGCCAAGAATGACACGCTGGTCGGAATTTCTAGCCGCATACGATTACCAATTAAGACATCGACCAGGGAAAGCCATTCCCCATGCTGACGCTTTAAGCCGCTCACCATTACCTGAATTCCTAGACGATCCAGCTCCAACCCTATCCACACTACAAATTGAGACACTTACTTCACCACCACTAACTGCGCAAGACATCGCATCGGAAACAAGGAAGGACCCTTGTTTGGCGCGGGTCCTCAGCTGGGTGGAAAGAGGTTGGCCTGAAATCGAACCCAACGACACATTTAAACCCTTCAAAAACAGACAGACAGAACTTTTCTCCCAAAAAGGGTGCGTGT